CACCCCAACTGAAAATTCACCAGAATTATCGAATGATGCAGTCATTTGGTGGAGGTAAATGTGGCATGTCTGGGAATTCAGGTGCCCTCATCGCATCATAGTCTATCTCGTACATGTGAGGAGTAGCTTCATACGGTGCCGGAACTTCATCAATTGCACCTCCACCAAAATATTTTCGTCGCCGCCCAAAACGGGTTCTTCGGTTTCTTCATCTTCGCTTGAATCATCATGAATTTCTCCCCATCGATTTTCAGCGTCAATATCAACAACCAATTCCGGTATGTTTCTCGTCTCACACTCTTCTGTTGCAGATGTCCCCCCGACTTCATTTACACTTTCCAATAGTGCCATAAAACTGTTCGGGCCTGTATGTCGGCTCCTCAAACTGACTATATAAAGTCATTTCAGATGGATTTTGAGCCACACCTCTTGATGACCCAGGAACATCACATATGTTATGCACATCAACAAATAACTCAATAACTGCTATATTGGTTAACTCATGTAATCGAACCATGGTTCCAATATCATCATCTTCTTCAAGTGGAACTGCAACATATTTGACTGGGTTGGGGCATATCATAAACCTATACCTCAAACCATCAACTGCAACTCGAATTTTTCTTTCTATCTTATGCTTCATTTCTATAAATGTGATGTCTTTTTTGAACATCATATTTATTGGTTTTTCAGACTGAAAAACTACTCCGATCTCATTTTCCATAATCTGTCCATTATAATGGACAATCGTGAAAAAGTTGTTGCTCATTTCCTTTCCTTTCCTTTCCTTTATTGTTTCTTTCTTCGAATCAATATGTACGTGGAAAAATGTTGTAGAATAATGCTCTGTACGTGTAAAAAAATTATTTCTTTAAACAACAATAAATTAAAAAAATTAAATTTATATAATCTAATATATTATAATATAACTTAAACTAATAAACTATTTCTTATTATAATATAATTTAGTTAAAATAACAAACTAACAAACTAATTAAGCACTAATTAACTTTTTAATATTTTAACTTAAACTTCAACAAACAACCTAATATACGTTTAAACACACTAACAAATTCATTAAATATTTTTTACATTTAATAACTTAAACTAAGAAACTAATTAACTAATTTTTTATAATCTAATATATAACTTAAACTAACAATTTAATATAATATAACTTAAACTAACAAACTAATAATTATACTACAAACTAATTAACTAAATTTCTGTTTATCCTAAACCCTAAACTAACAAACTAATTATTTCATAATTTCATATTAATAAACTAAATTAAACAATTAAAAATTACCTCACAAACGATGTTTGAGCCTTTATCTCCATTTCCTCTTCTTATTTCCTTTCATTTCCTTTTCTCGCCAAATTTTCTTTCTTTCTTATGATTCTACCCTAAACCCCTCATATCCAATATATAATGATATTTCAACGGTTGGTAGGTAAGCTGCAATCAATTTGAGCTGTATAATTCACGTTGAAAGCTGTAAATTTTTCAACCGTTGAATGCTGCAATAATACAACACATCTGATTTTATGCTGCACCAATACAGCTATGATAACAAGAGTGAACAGTCTCGAAGCTATGGCATGAGGGACCAGCTATGGCTAGAAGCTAGGGCACGAATCTATGACACTTTGCAGCTCAAATCATGCTGCAATAATACAGCTATTACAGCTGCATGCATGAGTCTCCTGAGCAGATGTAAGAGGAATCACGCGAGGAGCAGGAGGAATAGGTTCTCCTGAGCAGCTGCAAGTGGAGAGGATTGTATGGCTACCTATCCTGCATGGCCCAACGTTGTTCAGTCCAAGCATGGACTGCATGGTGACCTTTGGCGAGCTGGGCGTGCATGGAGGTCGTTGGGCGTGTCTGGGCATTCATGGAGGTCGTTGGGCGTGCATGGAGGTGCTGGTAGGTCATGGAGGTCGTTGGGCGTGCCTGGGCGTGCATGGAGGTGCTGGTAGGTCGCAGGGCATGCATGGCGACCTACCAGGTCGTTGGGCGTGCATGGCGACCTAGTAGGTCGCCGGGCGTGCATGGCGACCTACCCCCGGGACTGTAGACCACACCACCTGAGCAATTAATCTGGCGATCCAACTATCTCGTGAAAAAAAAATTTCAACGCATTATCTCGTTGATTTTGCCCTATATAAACCCCCTCAACCCTCCCTCATTCTTCACACCAAAATCATATTCTCCTCTCTTATATAACTCAAATTCTATAACTATTTGAGTTTTAAATTTGTTATTAGTGGTAAGAAATTTATTTTTATGTTAGTATTTTTTTAAATAGTTATTATTTTTTATATTAATATATTTATGTAAATATTATTTTTTTATTAAAATAATATTTATATATTATTATTTAGAATTTTTAATTTTTTTTGTTAATTATATTGTTTTGTCTACAGTTATAATGGAAAACGAAATGCTGTTGCGATTGGATATTGATCATATCTCCAGACATTCCAGCTCTGTTATCATCATATAACCGTTAACTCTTATGTAATTAATATTGTATTTAAATGAATGTTTTTGTTTCTAATAATTTAATGTTATTGCATTTATATAATTTGTCAATGTATGTACACCTAAATAATTTTTTTTAACTTTTAAATACATAAATATATTTAATATATTATTTAATATAATAATATTATTAGTTATATTTTTTTTAAAATATAATAATAATTCTACCTTCTAAGTAGAGAAAAATATTAAATTAAACAAATTAAAAGTTATTAAAAAATTTATGTATACGATGACACATTTCATGTTCTGATTGGAGGATTAAATTTATTAAATTAAATTTTTAATAAGACTAATTTTATAAAATATGTAAGTCTTGAAGATTAAATATGTAATTATACTAATTTATTAACTTATGCATCAATATTTTCGTTAAATATTGATATGAGATGACTAGATTGATAACATTTAAATAATTAACTGATAAAATTAATAGATCGATAATCAAAATCAAAATTAATAATATAACCATATGTGTAATATTATAATTTCATACATTTTTCCTATAACTACAATAAAGTCAAAACTGGTTTTCATATATTGTTATATCATATTAATGTAGATAATTCACTCCACCTTTAACACACATTAACAAAATACATTTGATAATTCTTTTCATTATAATCGAAACATTTTACATAATATATTATTAATTTATAATAATAATAAAAATAAAATATTTATTATTAAACAAAATACGTGGCAGTCGAGCTGGCGAAAGGCGCGTCCCCGGGGATGCGCCTTCCACACGTGGCATCTAGCTCAGCGAAAACACGGGTAAAGCGCGTCCCCGAGGACGCGCCTTTACCAACTCAGCAGAAAGGGTGCTATTTCGGGAAATATTGATAAAATGGTACCAGAAAAAGAATATTAAAGAATATTGGTGTCATGTCAAATAGCCGTTAAATTCACCTCTTAATACGTCAGCTAAAAAAGATGAGTAGCTTTAGGAATATCCATATATATTTAGTAGTTTAAAGGTCAATTTTTAAATTTTATATTATACTCAATTTGATAATTTAATTATATTTTATTTTGATAGTTTAAGCACCCAATTATTACTAATTTTATGATTAGTCTAAATCATGAATTTAAATAAAAAATAATAGTTGATTCCTGTGTAAATTTATTAATTCTTTTTAATAATAGAATATATTATATTCTTTTAAAAATTATATTTAAAATTTGAAAACCACGATATTTAGATTGACAATCACAAAAATTCAATATAAACACTTTAAAATATATATGAAAACAATAGATTGAAAATTATAATTTAATTAAATTTGAGAAGAATAGATCCAATTATATTAATCACATAAAATTATAGGAATATATAACTTTATTACCGATGTATACCATTTTTAAAATTATTTATACAAGTAATGAAATTATTTATAGGAATAATATTTATTTTTATTATGTAAGACAAAAACACGTAAAAGATTTAGATTTACAAAGTGTATTTTTACCCTACGTGGCACCGTAATCAATAACTGTTTAGAAAAAATATATATTTTTTCTATGATAACTTTACTATCGATTATTGTAATTCATAAAATCATTTTCTATGAAAATACAATATAAAAAGATATTTTTCTCAAACTATGAAAGACATAATTGTTTGGACTAACTTATCTTAATAATTAAAAAAATCGTTGTTGTTCTTAGAGATCATGTATTCGAACACCAATAATTACAGTAGAGTAATTAAATATTTATTGTCAAATAATAAAAAATATTTAAAACAAATAATATCCTTATTAAACGCGTATTTCACATTAACTAATAAAATTTATAACATTTACCGATTAAAAAGTCGCATAAAATAAAAGTATATCTTATTAAATATATTGCATGAAAGACATGACTCGCTAGATACACATTTATTTTACGAGTAGATAAATATTATTTTCGTAAATAATCTTAAAAATAATATTATTTTTATAAATAAATCAAAATAGCTAGAATGTCCTTCCTCTAGTTTTAAAATATGGTGGACCAAATAATAGAGTCACCATCAAACGGCAGCCTACCCAAGTGGCCAAGTCAAAACCCCGCCGCTGGCCGCTGTAAGTCTCAATTCACACGCGAGCTACAGCACATCCACAAGCGACGTTTTCATCGTCTTCTTAACTAAGCTGAATCATTTTCCCTCCTAAATTCTTAATTAACAACAATCCCTCCTTAAACAAATAGTAGAATGAATCCACCAATTATTTACCATTAAAGTAACCGTCACACATAAAAGGGAGATGGTTGGGTAAAGTCGTCTTTTCCGTATGTCGCACTCCCATGCTTATATTTTATATTTGCTTTTTTGGCCTGTTTACTGAAATAATATTTTTGGTTCTTGTTGGTTTTAGCTTTGTGGAGATTCCTTTCCAAAAATCGTCACCATCGAGAAGATTATTGATTTTTCAAAAAGCGAAACGCAGGGGCTTTAGATTGTTAGCTTTTAAAAACTGCGACGAAACTTCTTCTTCTTCGTCTTCAGGTTGTTCCGTTTGCTTTTGCTTTCGTCATCGATTTACTCTGTCCCCCTTTTTGTTTCCTTTAAAGGTTCTCTCTGCCTTATCTTTCTACGAATATATTGAGTATACTGTATATACATATATATAAGTTTCGATAATGATGCTTCAATGTTTGAGTTTCAGTTGACTTGATTCATGTACGGTAGAGAAAAAAGCTAGTGGAATATTTTATTGATTTCTAGATTAGATTCATGTTGCTGTTTTTTTTTCTTTTTTAAGATTTTTTTTCTTTGCTATGTGAGAGATTTGAAAGAGCGTTGATAACCGGATATAGAAATATTTATTTTCGATTTAAATGAGTGGAGAAGAAAATGAGCTAAAAGATCAGGTAGTCATTTGAATATTTTATGCAAGAATTTTTGTTTTTCATTGGATTTATTTCCTAATTATTGAATCGATAATTTATAAGCTTCATTTTTTTGTAAATCAAGTTAATTTGAATTTATAAGTTTCATTTTTTTGCAAATCAAGTTAATTTGAATTTCATATTTTAATTGCGTATTTATTTGATTTTACAATTTGATTTCCGTGAAGAATGTGTTATAGTTTAGCAGATGGAATCAAGCACTCGGTTTATTTTTTTTTTTACATTGCGAAGTCATCATTAAGTAGGTTTCGTCTGCTTTAGAAAGTCTTTTTACAATGTCGAAATAAGTTTTTCTGCTACTAATGAATAATCTGGATCCACGATTCTATTTGTAGATCAAAGGAAAGAGAGTTTTCAAAGGAATTATCATCGGATCTCATAGTAAGAATTCTTTTAATGGTGTTTTATATTGTTGAAGCACCTTGGAATTGGCTGCACCTGTTCTTGTAAGAAACTGTAACCTTTTGAGGCATTATGCATGTCTGGCCTTGTGGACACCGCCAGTACGGTAGAAGAAGCACTCTCTCGTGCAGAAAGAACAAAATCTCTTGATGCCATCATTGACAAAGGTAACGGTTCTATTCTAACTAATGGTGACGCTGTCCATAGTTCTGAAACTGCTGGATTTCGAGTTGGAGAACTATTGCTATCAAATGGGGATTCATATTCTGGGTCATTGCTCGGCAACATGCCAGAGGGTCAAGGAAAGTATGTTTGGCAAGATGGTTGTGTGTATGAGGGAGAATGGAGACGTGGGATGAGGAATGGGACTGGCAAAATACAATGGCCTTCTGGAACTGTCTATGATGGTGAATTCTCAGGTGGATATATGCATGGTACCGGAACATATATTGGCTCTAATAAATTGACATATAAGGGGAGATGGAAGTTGAATCTCAAACATGGTTTAGGATTTCTAGTTTATCCCAATGGAGATGAGTTTGAAGGTTCTTGGATGCAGGGAACACCAGAAGGGCCTGGAAAATATACTTGGGCCAATGGAAATGTTTATCTAGGGAATGTGAAAGGTGGGAGAATGTCTGGAAAAGGCACCCTCATTTGGACAAACGGAGACTCGTTTGAAGGAAGCTGGTTGAATGGAATGATGCACGGATTCGGAGTGTATACCTGGAGTGATGGTGGTTGCTATGTAGGAACTTGGACACGGGGTTTAAAGGATGGGAAAGGATCATTTTATCCCAATGGCAGCCGGCTTCCTGCCTCACAAGAAGTTTACCTCAATGCTCTCAGAAAAAGAGGATTGCTACCAGATTTGAGAAAGCAGAGCCATTCACATATCCACCATGCTGCTTCTGTAGACATGGGAAATGTCAAGGTTGGTGGCAACCGGGTATCTAATCGTAATTCTGATAAGCTATCAGAAGGAAACTTATTAAATCTGCAGCAGTCTCGCAACAGAAATGTTTCCTTGGCGAGACGTTGGAGTCTAGAGGTATCCATTGAAAAAGTGATTGGTCATGATTCATCATTAGAATTATCTGATTCTTTTATGGAAGGAGAAAAAGGGAGCGAAACAAATGCACCAATCCTGGAACGTGAATACATGCAAGGTGTTCTAATCAGTGAGCTTGTGTTGAATAATAGTTTTGCACCAGCCTCCCGAAGAGCAAAACGGAGGCAAAAAAGGTTAGCAAAAGAGGTTAAGAGGCCTGGTGAAACAATCATTAAAGGTCACAGGAGTTATGATTTAATGCTCAGTTTGCAGCTTGGAATCAGGTCTTTTGTTTGTTTCTAACTCTTATTCTTATTTACCTTTCTCCTTATATCAGACAATATGACTCTTAATTTTCTTATTTGTTTTCCCTTCTACACTACACTTTTTACGGCTTTTGCTTACCATTTTATGGATCATTCAGTCTGAAGTTTGGGCAGTAATTGTGGTTTAATTTCCTTATTAACAGAAAAATGAAAGAGATGTGTGAAGTGTTGACTAAACCAGTATAAACGATGTATCTATATAGCTGCTCTCTTTGGGATGATAGATTAAATATTTTTGTTTGTTTTTGAATCTGTTGTAGGTACTACTTAAAAATTATTTTTTAATTGTAATTTAAATTTTATTGCATCCTCTGTAAAGAATTCGTAGAAAGATACACTACGTTTGTCATGATGAAGAATCCATATCTGTTCCGCTAAATTTGCAGTTACATTGTTTTCGGAAAACTGAACACTGAATATAGCTAGATTTTGCCAGATACACTGTGGGGAAAATTACACCTGTACAAAGACGAGAGGTTAGAGCATCAGATTTTGGCCCCCGGGCAAGCTTTTGGATGAATTTTCCTAAGGTGGGATCACAGTTGACACCTACCCATCAATCTGATGATTTTAAGTGGAAGGATTACTGCCCAATGGTTTTCAGGTTAGCATACCTCCATTTTGTGACCATAGGGAGGATTTCGGTTTGCAATATAAGTTTTCTAATACATTCACTAGGAATTTCGTTGATCTTCCCAGTTTTGATGATGAGGTCCTCTGGTTCAGTTTGAAGGTTTGGTCTATAAGCTATTTAGGATTCCATGTCCTTTTTGAAATAGCAAATTCTAGCTGCTTATTTCTTCTGAAAGAGGTGTCTTAAATTTCAGTTTATTTTTATGAAGAAAATATTTTGATAGACCTTGCATTTAGTTCAAGTAATCCTTAGATTTATGCTAATTTATCTTTTGTGAATATTGTACTATGCTTTTGTTTACATGTTGAAATAAGTAAAACTTATTGTAGGAACTTACGAGAGATGTTCAAGATTGATGCTGCGGACTACATGATGTCCATTTGCGGGAATGATGCTCTCAGGGAACTTTCTTCTCCCGGAAAAAGTGGTAGTATCTTCTTTCTGTCTCAAGATGATCGTTTTATGATTAAGACGCTTCGGAAATCTGAAGTAAAGGTTTGCAATCTCCACATTTACATTATTCATATTTTCTGGGAAACTAACTTGAGTAAATATGATAATGCTCGCTGGTTGCTTTAACTTGTTAGTTCTGCCGATATGCAACTTTTACCTTTTGAGTTACCCAATTAAAAATCAATACCTAATTACAAACTCTTTTCAATGTCTCTCTCTATCCCTGTTTTTGTTTCGTCTTCTGTTCCTTTTTCCCTCCTGATTATTGCAGTTTTTATTGACTAAATTCTTGCATGTAGGTTCTTCTAAGAATGCTTCCCAACTATCACCATCACGTGAGGTCATATGAGAATACACTCATAACAAAGTTTTTTGGGCTTCACAGAATCAAACCATCAAGTGGTCAAAAGGTAATAAAAACAGTAAAGTTCTCTACTTAATATGCCAGAGAATTTTTTACCTCAATCAAAACACTTCATTAAGGTGGTTTCACTGAATTCACCTGAATAAAATTATTGTTAGGTACTTTGATTAAGGACTATTTTTTTCATTTCTTATTTCATGTTATCTAACAAATGATTCCTTCAAAACTAGAATTTCTTTTGAGCTAACAACCATGAACCATGTTCTCATGCAGTTTCGCTTTGTTGTCATGGGAAATATGTTTTGCACTGAGTTGAGGATTCATAGAAGATTTGACTTGAAAGGATCATCATTAGGGCGCTCTGCCGACAATGTAGAAATTGATGAGAACACAACACTTAAAGATTTGGATCTCAATTACTGCTTTTATTTGGAGCCTTCTTGGCGAGAAGCTTTATTAAGGTAGTTGATGAATTTGTAACTTTTATGCCATCGTGTTATCTTACTTTTTCAAGTTGACATATTTTCAGTATATCCCGATCTTTATTTTAGTTAACTACTTCACAATGATCACTCCAAGATTTGGTTTACCTCAAAGTACTGTTAAGACATAACAAAACAGCTTTAACGAAAAAAAATATTGTTTCTTTTCTATCCGGCTGGAACGGCATTCTTATATAATTGGTTTACCTTATTTCATTTATATTATATTTATGCAGGCAAATAGAGATTGATAGTAAATTTTTGGAAGAACAATGCATTATGGACTATAGCCTTTTGCTTGGTGTGCATTATCGAGCACCTCAGCATTTGAGGTCTCTCATGGCCTACAACAGAGTGGACGGCCTAGGGAGTGTTGCAGAGGAAGGTCTGCATTTTGAACATTTGATCTTCTATTGGCAGTTTCTTCTGCTCCTTTATATTTTATTTAGCAAACCATTTTCTTTTGCAGATTATACGAGTTAAGTCTTTCAAGAATTCACAGTTGTTGACATACATAAGATAGCCAAATCTGTGCAAACAGAAAATTATTACTCCATGTTGACAGTTACAAAATATTTAAGATGTAATTGTTACACACAAATAAAACAGAAAGATAAGATGGGAAATTCTATTCACATCATTTACATACATGATAACACCTCTGATACAACCCAGAATATAGAGGTCAGATATATACCATATAAAGGGTGTATTTGAAACAACATCGAATAAGGCATGGGGTTGATACCAAGTCAGCTCACTTTTGGATTTAATATTCTGTGATGGAACCATATATATCATGCATGGTACATAGCATACACCCAAGTATTCTGGTTTATGCTGTAGTTATCTGATTCTGGTACAACTTGTATGCATTTCCTTCTTTTACATCATTCTGAAGGTCGATCGACGGATTTCAAAATTGCTTGGTGTTTATATTTCAGAGGAGGATGAAATCTCCAACTACCCTCAAGGCCTTGTATTGGTTCCTCGTGGAACAGACGACAGTAGTGTTGTTGCGGGTTCGCATATACGAGGTAGACGTTTGCGAGCATCAGCTGCAGGTGATGAGGAAGTAGATCTTCTCCTTCCGGGTACAGCAAGGTATGACGTCCTAAACATGTCATGACGGTTATTCTATGCAATATCCCAAAATTCATTGATTGTTGCCTGGATCTGGGTATTTTATTTGTATAAACCCTCCCAGAAGTGCTCAAAGAAACAGAATGGCGTGACAATACAAATATGTAGTCACCTTAAAATGTTGGGAATTTATTGCGTGCTAGAATAGTTATGAATAGATTCTTTCTTACTTTGCCTTGTACTAGAAGAAAATTACTGTTGTTTGATACACGTGCACAAATTGGCTATATAATGTGATTCCAATGCAGCGTGTGAGCTTTAAGTCTTCATCTTTTATCTTTTAGGGGATAACTTTTGTATCTTTTTTATTTACAGATTCCAGATCCAGCTTGGTGTGAACATGCCAGCGAGGGCTGAGCAGATTCCTGGTAAAGAAGAAAACATGTTCCATGAAGCATACGATGTTGTCCTATACCTGGGAATCATTGACATTTTGCAAGAATATAACATGACTAAGAAGATTGAACATGCCTATAAGTCTCTTCAGTTTGATTCTCTATCCATATCGGCCGTCGACCCTACATTCTACTCGAAACGGTTCTTGGATTTCATTCGGAAGGTATTTCCTCCGAATTCCATGAAAACTTGAAATAATTTTGGGTTTACGGTGTCCAATTGTTGTGAGAAATGAAGTGATTAGGGGATGTAGGACACCATTCCAAATACCCTCTGAATCAGTGTTGCCGAAAATGCATTGTTCAAGATCGGCACTTGGGAGCGGGTTTTTAATCATGTTTATAGTGAGTATAGTTCCCTGCCATTGTTTATGATATACTCCTGGAACACATTCGATGCTTCGTACTATCCTTTCGCACTTGTCAAAATAATGGAAAACAAAAGCAAGATAGCCTGTAAAGTTTTATCTGCTCTCATCCTTCTACTTCAAAGCTCAGAGCCATTACTCGATACTTGCCAACCATTTATTAGTTGATGTTACTCTATTGTTGTAACCATATAATTTAGCGTCATGATAAAAAGATCATACCATTTTACCTTTATATTTTAAAATAGTGAAAGAATCAAATGTAAAATCACTAAATTATTTATTATAAACGTAAAGGAGATTTGTTTCTTTGCAATTAATAGGGTAGCATTGCAAAGCTATAAACTTATACAAGCTCCCCTTTTCGGCTAAGATACTAATATTGAATTTGATGAAAAATAGGTATTTCATTCTAGCCTTGAAAACTTTTAACTGCTCACGGTAGTGTGGCAACAAAACTGAAGCCACCACACACAGGCTAAGCAAATTTCAAGGAACATCAGGTGTACCTAACAGCTTCCCTGTGAGGTTTGGGCACTAGTGGCGGCTTCAAAAACTCTCCAAGCCTCCGTTTCAGGGTCAGCTAGCTCCCGTGGGATCTGCACGAATTCAAGTCAGGAACACACCTTTGAAAGGAAAATATTATATTTAGAAAATCTAGTCGAGACTAACCATTCCATAAGTGTTTGTCTTTGTGGGAGAAGCTCCTTTCGCCAGTAACAATCGTATCACTTCTGCGTGCTCACCTCTTGCTGCATGATGAAGAGGCTGATGCAAAAGCAGCGCAGAGTATCCGTAAACAAGATTTATGTCAGAAGCAGCTCTCTTTTCATATGAACAAACAATCGGATTAATTCAGGTTTCAAAATTTTTCAGGTCATTTGGTTCGAGTCAAATTTCAATTAGTCATTTCGGATCATTTTTGTTTGAGACTTGAGTTTTCAGGCCAGTCATTATGGGTTTACTTGTTCAGCCCATTTGGACTATTTCAAGCTCAAACCAATTCAGGTCTAGGTTGGACATGTTTGGTTGTTGATTTTTTATGGTCAAAACGGTCGGGTTTTAGGTTTTGCCAAGCAAGTGGGAGAAGAGTGCTAAGTCGATTCCCATTTTCATTTAGTATATAATTGACCAAGGTGCAATTGAATGAGACAAACAAATCAGAATCAATTGAAATGAATCAAATTAGATTTAGAGCCTAACCAACATGAAGCAAATAAACTGAACATACAGGCATTATAATTCAAAATGGTTCAAGTGCCATTAGTATGAAGTACTCACAGTATCACCTTCGGCATCAACTGAATCAAGTATCCTTTTCAGACATCCACTGTCAGTGGCTCTGTCAAGCAGAAGTTGCACTATCTCGATAAATCCTGAAAACGATAATTGGGAAAGAAAAAAAAGTCAGTACCTAGACAGAGATGGAAGATTCTAAATAAAATTGTACATCCTACCCCCGGCACAAGCATCATGCAAAGGAACTGCCCCATCCTCATCTTTGGCCTCCAAATTAGCCCCCCTTTCCAAAAGTATCTACAAGAGATCAAATCATCAATCATAAGGCTTTTGGTCAAGAAAAAAATACATAAAAGATAGCAGTGAAAACAGCATCGGACACTGACTTGAACACAAGGCAGATAACCATAAAGGCAGGCAAGATGGAGAGCTGTATCACCATCTTCTACAGGTTCATCGATGTTGCCATTCAAGTTGTCTATACAATCAAGTGAACAATAAAACACATCATTAGGAGATATAGTAGACAGAGAACAATTTAATGTCACGTTAAGCAGATTTGGGTGATAGTGCTGAACATGGGTATGTATACAATACATGCATGGTCAGATTCTTTTAAATTTTGCATGTTTTTGGAGGATCTATGGAGATTATATCCATAAACACTTTAAATAAATACTGGGAAACATATCAAAAGTCTAAAAACAATCCGTCATACAATCAAGGAAGACACTTAAATAAGGCATTATTCAAGTCTTCAAGATAGGAATTTTTCCCGACTTCAGCTCCTTACATTTTTAATTTTCATAAATGGATTACAAGCTATCAATAATATATGAAAAGCTTTTCATTTTTAAAGTATAATTATATACGTAAAGCTTTCATTTCTAAGTCACTAAGGATATATCAATCATCAACTTCAATATAGCATTCAAAAACTGAAATCAACATCAAACATGCTTCTTTACTTCATCTATTTCCTTTAGAGACTTCCATCATGCTCTTCCAATTTCTTGAAAAGGCTACCCAAAAATCCCTAATTATATTAATGAGAAATAACTATTCTCACACCAGCATTAGCCCAGAGACCACAGTCAGTAAAAAAAGAGAGAGAGAACTTCCAAAAAATAATATTTTTTAATTTCAAAGAATGATAAAATCCCAAAGGGAGAAAGGAAAGTAAAAGTTTATTGCATGAAATTTTAACAGATGCAGCTCAAACAAGCAGAAAAAAAAAGATTTAAAATTGTGAAATGGGGAAAATGAACCTAGGGCGAGGCGAAGAGCGTTGGGGTCGCCGAGCTGGACAGCGGCAGCAAGGTCGCGAAGGTGCGGTGGGGTATCGGCCTCAAGGTCAATCTCGAGACCGTTTTCTTCAAAAAGAGCGTTGTCATCGTCTTCATCTTCTTCAAGCATGTGTCTTCCTGGAACCGCCATTGTTTTCTTCCCTTTCTTTAGATTTCTCTGTTTGGGTTTGTACGGCGCATATCTTAGTTGTACTATATTTTTATAGGCTTAATTATAAAGTAATTGTTATCACATATACAGGTTTTTTTTAATGAGTTGGTGTTTAAATTATTTTTTGGGTAAACTACGTTAATAATGTTTGGGTAAGTTTTCGTTTTCACCACTAATATTTTAAAAGTTATAAATCGGTCACTAACGTTATCGTTTGTGACAAAATGATCACTAGCTGTTAACAGCTGTTAAGAGGCGTGACGAAAAATACAACTCGAACGTTATTTGCTGAGTTGGATTGTTGACCGCCATTTTGACTGGCTCTTCTTATTTTTCAACCCATTCCCCATCTTCTTTTTCTTCACTTTTATTCTTCTTTCTTTCTCTTCACTTTTCTGCACTTTTCTTCTTTTCCTCTTATCACACACATGACACGAATCCTCTTATCACTCTCAAGGCTCATTATTCCCATGCTTCAAAGGCATGCCCGGGGGGACAAAGATCCGTCGGTAGTTCTCCACAGCAGTGGTATTTCTCCTCAGTTTCTTTGCCAGTGCTCTATGGAGCTGCATGCTATTTTCCGAGTTGGATATATGAATGTACCGTGTTTAAAATGTTTTCAAACTTTGATGGCTGTTTGGTGAAGGATCCGTCCGACAAAATGAAAGTAATATGTGATGAAAAGCTGAAAGAACGCTTCCATGTCGAAACGTTCCATGGCTTCACTATGACAAAACTCTTAGTTGCTCATTTTCACAAGACATGACATCATAGTACGAGCCCTATGCTCCGATATTTGTTGCTGTAAATCTCAAGAGAGAAGGTACTTGAAGACGAGCCACACATGATACAAAATTCTTCCAAGATTTTGATTGTGCGAGAATAAATGCAAGAAATCCTATTCAATGTTAAAACAAAAACCAATCAGTACCCAACACCCCCCCCCCCGCCGATTAATCAACCAGTCCTTATCTCTATCACGTACTGTTAGATTATACAACCCATCATTCATCCCAAAATTAATTTTTATGAAAAACTAATCTTTTACCAATAAAGTTGTAAGAAAAGAGAAGTAAGAGAACAACTTTACACTGGAGTAAGAAATAAGGGCACTTGCTCTCTAGCAATGTACAAAATTCCAAGCAAATTACAGTGAAAGTAACGAAGCAGGCTCCCACGCCCTTAGCACGCGCATAGCCATCGGCTGCATATCCGGCGTTAAGCTCGTTGCAGCATCCGACTAAGTTCAACTGAGGTTATGATATTAGATGATCCAACAGAGTCAAGTTGAAGTCACCAGGAACTGAGAACACGTCTTTCATACCGATCTCCACGATTCTCCTTGCCAGGTGGCGCCCCAGGGTGTCACTCAAGGCATCTCCGCGAACTGGGGGTGTAAGGAACTGGGATGAGCCGTCGAACCGATTTTATTACCGACTTCCATGCAGTAAAATTTTTCAAGAAAGAAGGTGGTGGTTGGAATAGTGCCTATGGCGAATTCTTCCTTTCCTGGTATTCTCAGATGCTGTTGGAACACGGTGAGAGAATTCTATCGTCTGAGATATCGATTTTTTACGGCAAAGGTGTGAAGATCTCTGTGAAAATTGCTAGAGTCCACTGGCATTGTGGAACCCAATCCCATGCTCCTGAACTCACAACAGGGTACTATAACACAAGGTACCGAGAATATTACCTCTCGATTGCTCAAATGCTAGCACGTCATGGTGCCGTTTTCAACTTCACTTGCATAGAGATACGCTATCATGAGCAGTCTCAAGATGCACTATGTGAACCTGAGAAGCTGGTGAAACAAGTAGCTTTTGCTACTGCATCAGCGCAAGTTCCACTTGCCGGGGAGAATGCACTTCCCCGTTACGATGAATACGCCCATGAGCTGATCTTACAAGCATCATCGTTTGATGTTGATGGCTCTTCGTTCGATAGAGAGATGTGTGCATTCACGTACTAGAGGATGAACCTATCGTTGTTTCATCCAGAAAACTGGAGACGCTTTGTTGGATTCGTGAAGAAGATGAACGAGGGGAAAGGTGAAGAAAAAGAAGATGGGGAATAGGTTGAAGAATAAGAAAAGCCAGTCAAAATGGCGGCCAACGATCAAACTCAGCAGATAACGATACAGTTGTATTTTTCTTCACGCCTCTTAACGACTGTTAACGGCCAATGACCATTTTGTCACAAACGATAACGTTAGTGACCTATTTGTAACTTTTGAAACATTAGTGGTGAAAACAAAAACTTACCCAAACATCAGTGACCATTGATGTAGTTTACCCTTATTTTTTAAATAAATTTCTAATGTTATAAGTATTACTATTTTAGGTGTCTGAGCTTTAATTGTCGTTAGTTTTCTTTGTTAAATAAT